CTGTGGCACACACTTACCTACACCCACATATGTGAACGCATACACATCACACACACACACACACACACACACACACACACACACACACACACACCAGGGGAGAAGACACCAAGAAATACAAGGCTGCTGAAACCTAGGGAAGAGGGAATCGTCTCTTGGGCCTCAAATGACAAAGATCTTCAAGCACTGTTGATTAAGAAAGAAGACTCTGAAGTGTTTCTTTGGACAAGCCCAAGCCCACCAGCCTCAGTACTGTTAATCTACTTTCCACTGTGCCCAAAATTGGTCACACATCAATTCTAGAAGGAAAAGTGGCTGCACACAGGTCCTGATACACTACCAGAATGAACAGCAGTGCCCCAGAGAGAAGGCACTAATTCTACACAAGAACTTCTCAGTGACTGACAGGGAAGAAAACAGACCTTTCCTGGCATCGTGTACCTAACAAGGACCCGGTAGGCACCGGTTTATGAGGCCTTAAGAACTAAGGAGCAATCTGTCCCACTTGCTCTCTCTACACCCACATGGCAATAATCCTTCAAAATCTCTGACTTACAATGATTCAAATGAATCTGATCCACATACTCCTTGGGTGGTCAGTCTTCAGCACTACAGACAGTCACATGATTGAAGCAGTCCAAACCGGAGACACCAGCCAAACCATGAGAATGGAAGAAAGGCTGCCTTCAGAAGAGACGTAGAGATTACTAAAAGCCAATGAAGCCAGGCATAGTGGCCTGCATTTATCTCAGAAAGGAGAGGCAGGCAGATGTCTGTGAGCTCAAGACCAGTTTGATCTACATAGCCAGTTCCAGGCCAGCCAGGCCATCAGTAACACTGTCCCTAAGCAAGACACAAGATACCAAATACTCTACATGCTTCTTCCTCCCACTTTTTCTTTTTTTCTACAGAATTTTATTTCTTCCACAAATGTTATTACTACAGCATGATTTTGTGAAACATTTTGCAGTAACAAAGAGAGAGTCAAGGAGGTCCTGCAAGCAGTGGATGGCAAGCAGAAGGGAGGGAAACCAGACCAAGAGACTGTTTCTAGGGTGAGACAAAGTTACAGAGGACACCAGGTTTAAGACAAAAATAATTACTGACAGTTTCATTGAAGAATCTAAAAGTTATCCTGACATGGCAGTGGTGTATGCCTGTAATCCCAACACCTGAGAGGTCAGGAGTACAAAGTCATCTCCTGCTATATCATGAATTTGAGGCCAGCCTGGTCTTCATAAGACCTTGTCTTAGAAAAAAAAAAGAAAGAAAGAAAGAAAGGAAATAGTCACAAGAATTTTTTCATTTACATTAGGTAACATTCTTTATCTTTCCCCCTTCTTTTGTTTTTCCTTTTCCCAGTCAGTGTCAAAGCTAAAACTATTTATTAAATTCCAGTTCAATTTGATGTTAAATATAGTCATATCTTTCTCACAACAAAACAGCGATTTATGACCCTATACTATTCATCACCCACTTCAACTGATAGCAAATACGGGATGAATTTCCATACTGTCATCAACTATATCCTGAACCCTCTATGAATCCCTTTTCCACACTACCATACACACAGCTGAGCCTCAGACAATACCTCTAACCAGGTTCTAGTTCACACAGGAGGGCAGGGCTAGGATGGACTCAATGGAAGCTACACAAATGAGGAATCACAGAAGTGAACCACACTCCAGCGGTGGAGAAGGAAAAAGCTTCCGACCAAATCATGGAAGTTATGGGGATGGGGTGATCTCTCCACCGCCACGTGACAAATGATCAGTAAGAGAGCGAAGGAGCCAAAGCTACTTGGAACTTTCACTCCTTCTCCTTCCTTACGAATTTCTGACCACAGAAAATTCCTCCAATTAGTCAGGAAGAATCAATGCCACAGAAACCATTTTGATATGATTTTAACCATTTTATGATCATGTTTTCAAGGGCAACTTGTAGAAGCCAACAAAAGAGAACAGCCCAGGCTAGCTCCAGAGGGGCCGGCATAGTTGGAAAGGTAAGTTGAGTTTTTTAAAAGAAATTACCAGCTGGGCGGTGGTGGCGCACGCCTTTAATCCCAGCACTCGGGAGGCAGAGCCAGGCGGATCTCTGTGAGTTCGAGGCTAGCCTGGGCTACCAAG